ATTGTTTTATCTTAAATTATATTTGAGATGTTTATGCATTTGAATTCATTAAATGCATATCTATGAATTTTATTCATAAAAGAATGGATACAAATTAAAGGAATATATCCATAAAATAGTAGAATGATATGTACCACATTCGACTTTAGGTCATAGCACTCTAAAGTATATGAGTGACATTTGTAAATTAGTACAACCTATAACAAATAGGTGTTTTAATTTATTCTGGTGATACACAATAAATTAAGGAATGAGTGTTTATTTATTGAAGTGATTCCTTATTATCATTTATTAAGGGTGATGAACTATTTAAATATTTCATGTCTAAATGAATAGAATTGTATCTCCGACCTCTAAATGTATCTAGAAGTCGTTAAAATTACCACGTTAGAAGGAACCATGTCATGGATCAAAGTCTTGTGAGCGGGCTCTTGTCAAAGTAACAAGAAAGACTTGTCCCTTATACACCTTGTGGGGCTTCCTTGAACCCTCACATTGTGAGAACATCAATGTCCATCGAGCTACCCTTAATGGGTTTTACATAGAAATTCGCTATAATAAAAATGAGATAGAAAAAAAATATTATATTGCGATAATAAATGTAAAAGAAAATGCATATTTAAGCAGGTTATGAGACAAAATGGTCATTGACTCATACAAACTTTGAAATAACTCATTCAAATTATTAAACATTCGAATAAAGGATGAAATAGGATCCAACACCATGTAAATTGTTGGTTTTAGCATTGATAAATAGAAAGCAATATCAATCTTCTAAAGTACGAGAAGAAATATTTACCTTTCGTTACGCCTTACAGATATAGTAGAAGGCACGTCAGTTATTTCTTAAAGTTTACTCCTTAGTAATAATGGAATCGAGATTTGTCTATGCTAAGGATATAAAAATGTAGATATCTCATTTTTTTAATTTGACACATGAGAACATATCTACCAAAATGCGGGCCATTTAAGTAATTATGCTTTGGTAGAAATTTACTCATACTATCTATTTTTGGGTTACATAAAAATGTTGCTTTTGCAAAACTTCTAGCAAAACTTATTTATTTAAGGGTCCACCACCCGACCAATCAAGTCTATATGACTTGTTACTACTAGACAGTTCTCATCAAAAGTATTTGATGATTATTGCATATTTTTCGAGATCAATGAAAAACATCTCGCATCCCATGTGAAAAAAAGAACTCAGTAAAAATCACATCTAAAAGAATATTGATGGTGAATATTATATCTATTATGCGCACACTAATATTTTTTTATGGGATTATGCAATATGCAAGCACTCTTACACATTTGTTTTTTAAAACCGATACTAGACAACCACGTTTATGTATACCAGTTGGTGACTGGATATTAGCCTGAGATGTTCTACTTATGAATATGTGGTTGTTAAATAGTTGTGCCTATTGCGTCTCCCACAACGCACTATAATCGGTTTTAAAAGAAAAATGATGTTTATGTTGGATATGAATCCCAACAATAATCCGCTACTAGCCTTAACAAATAATGTGTACACCGCTTTGCGGGATATGACTTTGATGAGACAATTGATTTTCCTGTCATTAGGGGAGATTAGAGAAAGAACTCTCTAATTGAATGACAAAATCATTATGATGGTACATCACTACTTTGTCTCAATGATAAATCTTAGACTTCAAATGTAACATTGAAGTTAAAGTGGTATCATAAATGATTTAAGTAATCAGATTATACACACTAGCTGCAAACATATTTATAAGGCTTGAATTTAAATTAAAAGAAACAATGCTAAAGGAAGAAGCATTGCAATCACAAGCAGTGGGGTTGTGGTTGAGGCCGTGGCTCTCTAAAGGAATAGAGGGAAGCCACATGATTCGATTAATTATCCACCCCAAGTAGTAGAGGGTAGATAAGGCACAAACCAATATACTCGTCATCATATGAATTCCTCTCATGAGATTATCTCTGATTAAACATGTCCATGAATTTATAATGGGGGACGCCCCGAAGTTTAAATGATTTCAAAGAATTAAAATCTCAATGTTAATGAGAGTGTGTATGAGTCGAATGATAGACCTTACACTTATACTGACGATATATTTATACAGTTGCTCAAAGGAGCATAGAGCACGATGATATCGAACCATAATCTATTGCAATATGAAAGCAATGAGAATATTGACCTAAATGCGTACAAGTAATCCAGGTATAAAATTTAATATTTGATAAAGAGACAGGTATTTGGTATGATAGTGCTAATCAACCAAGTGTAAAGCCTGTAGGACATGAAATAATTCTTTGTTAGAAAGTGTACTGAGATAATGAGGTCCTAATTATTCTCACAACGCCCTGGATTCAAATATGAAAAGTTATACTTCTCTATTTTGAACACAAAAACGTTCAACTACTTAATCTATAAGTAGACTCCAAAGTAATGGAGATGCAACTAAAGATTGTGGATATTAAATGCCTCAATAGAATTTCATTAAAGAGATGTATATGAAGTATTTTTTTTATATTTTTATTATCTTTAATCAAGTGGTTTTAAATTACATTGTATAAGTGACCACTTGACTGAAAAGGGATAGAGAAAGATATGGACAAGATATGTACTCATATTAAAGAAAATGAGAAATCCTAGATACTTGAAAGTAATTATTGAGATAAAGGATCTTGGGAAACTCAGGTTGTTTTGAAAACACCGAGTTGGTTGAATAATAATTCACCAGTTGCATATATCCAAATGGGTTCTCAGGCAAATTAACATGGACAAATGTAAACGTTAGCACTCCCATGATTGGTCGAAATATGGATGCTAGAAATATATCCATTATTGGAAAATCATTGGGAGAAGGAATTCCCTATGAAAGTGCAATATGCGCATGATTGTACTTTGACAAACACATTCGACCAAATAATACATTGTCAAGAACTGTTAGCTGAAAATAGCTTAGGACCAATACATCATCATTGAAATAGTATCAAGAATGTACTTTGATATCTATATGAAACCATTGGTGTAATCTTTATCCATCCCTTATAAATTAATTAAATGATTGATGATAATAAAATTTCTAAAGGAATTGGAAATGTCAAAAGTATCACTCTAACACAAAATAACGTGATTTGAGTTTTACCGATGATGGATATCCCATTACCTCATTGATACTTTCTTAAATGAGTATATATATACCATGAAAGAAACCAAGATGTTATATACGGAATACCTTGATAAAAGTATATATCAAGTAGATATCGAATTCTTATTGATGTGTTGCACTCAGGGGGAGTCCTTACATACTTATTTATCATCAGTTATATTGGTGCGTTGTACTCCTTTTCTTTTCCCCTTTTGACCAAGGTTTATTTTTCCCATTGGGTTTTGTTACTTGGTAAGGTTTTTTTTAATGAGACAACATAATATGCACCATCCCACATTTTAATTTTGCGAAAGTAAAACAATGTTGAAGAAAAAACATAATTACTATATCGCAGTCAAAAGTAATTGACTTGTAGGTATTAGTGCACCATACTTCCTTTTGACTGATGTTTATTTTTTCCCATTGGGTTTTGTTCATTGGCAACGTCTTCGCAAGTTAAAGGAATTCCCTACGCTCGACACACAGGGGGAGAATTAAAGGAATTATATTCATCTATTGTGTGCCTTCGCTAAGGTAATTAATGTGACAAGTATTGAAATGCACATATTTTACAAACACCCTTGATTAATGTAAATATATTAAGGGTAGATGTAGACTTGAGGGGGAGTACCCCAACTAGATTACGTTACACTCTTTTCCTTTACCCAAGTTTTATTTTTTCCCACTGGGTTTTGTTACTTGGTAAGGTTTTTAATGAGGTAACAATACTTATAAACTTTAATGATCAAAGCAAAGATCAAATAAAGATAGACTTAATGAAAGAAGCCTATCTTGATGCTATACTCCTTTTTCTCCAGTCAAGGTTATTTTTTCCCACAGGGTTTTTGTTACTTGACAGAGTTTTGAAGAGGCAACAAGACACATACAACATTCAATCTACAACTCAGCACAAGGGGGGTGTTGAAGGAAATTCTATGTTGTGTGCTATCGTTTAGATAGAATATGTATTAGGGCCTTTCTATGTAAATGATGTATTATGGGTCCATTGGCCCATACTTGTAAACCCTACTCTATCCCTATTTATAGGGGCTCTCGGTAATGAAACTTTACGAATCATTCTCCCTACAACAATATATAATATATTGGAGAATAAGAGAATTTGAGAAGATGAAGATAATTAGAGAGTAGAATTTAGGAAGAGTTGGAGAAGAAATATGGAAAAATGTTTAAGATTAGGAGTATTTATAATGTTATTTTTTACCCCACCACCCCCAAACTGCTCGGACCTCCCCGCCAGCCCAGCCTAACGGCTCTTTTGGCCCAAAACAAAAATAAAATAAAATCTGACCATTGTGACCCGGGCCCGGGCCCGGGCCCGACCAGGCCGGGTCACGTTTTGCAGGAACAGAGCCTGCCCCGCGCTGCCCCCCCCCCCCCCCCCCCCCCCCCCCCAAGTTCAGGTCTCACCCGGTCCTGGACCGCCAGACCGGGTTGGTCCCGGGCCCGCACAGTAGCGGCCCGGGCCGGGTCACGGGCCGAGTGACCCGAACCCAATCCACCCCTATGTATGATCATGATGTTAAGATAACTTTTTATATAAAGTTCAGGAGTATAAATATTACATATACAAGTTTAAGCTATTTACTTCACGCCTCTTGAAAGTTTGGGATATTTAAATTATTTTCCCCTTTAATTATCTACATTAAAGAGCTTAACTTTTTTGTCAATTACCCTTGAAACTGCAAAATGCAAATCAATTGGGCAGAAGAAAGTAATATACTCCTCCGTCCCTTAAAACTTTGCCAAAATTAACCGGCACGAAAAATAATAAAGTAAAAACTGTGTGATTAAAATTTGTGCAGAGGAGAGAAATAACAAAAACCACAAAATAATTGATTAAAAGGGAAAACGACAAAGTTTTTTGGGACATCCAAAAAGGAAAGATCGAAAAGTTTTAAGGGACAAGAGTACATTTTTACATTGTTAGATTGAATCATAAGATTGGACATTCCGGACCTACCAATTGACAATTTGACATTAGACTAAAATAAACGAAGAAAGAGTTTGGTTGCACAACAAAATATGCAATCACGAAAGGCGAGTCAAAAACAAAATTCGGTACACAAGTTTCATAGCTCATACTCCGTAATTCATTGACTGAATCAACATTGGTCAACACGTCCCCCAAACAACATAAATAAAGGCAATTGATAAAGTCCTGTTTTTAAGGTGTCATTATCCCGGTCTCAGCACCGTCATAGTGCCATAACACTTCTTTTTCATACTCCTTTTTTATGCGGGTCTCATCTCCCCTTTCCCTTCACTCATCCTCAGGGTAGTTGAACTTAATGGAGTGGGATTGAAGGTCGATCTGCCCTCCTCTATAACTTCCTCTTTTCTTCTTGGTCTTTTCATGCCGAAAGTCCCTGCAGCAACCCTCATGTTACCGAACATGACATTCACATATATTAATTAGTAATGCCTGTTTAATTGAAGCCCCAACAAAACCATGCCCTCGAAGAATCAAGTGTTTTAGATTCTGATTCATTACTCCAAAATATTTCAATTTTTTGTAGCTCTTGCACACTAAAAATGGCTTAACCACACTGGTCATTCCCAAACCCAACATGAATCAGGAGTATGTGGAAGGGAGCAGGAGGAGAGGTGATCTTCATTTTATTAACTTATGTTTTAATTTAAAAAAATCAAATAGAAAAACTGATTCTTCCAAAATCTCCACCTGCATAATCCTTCAACCAAACAAGCCATATGGTAAAAAATGGGAGGCAGTCTCAAATAGTTTAGAATGGAAACAAATATAGGAATGGTCTTTTCCACTTCTGCATGGACAGTAGTAACACTGACTGATTACAACATTACCTTCCTCTGACCTGTCCCAGGACTTCCTGTGCTTTGGCGCCATAGCCAAAATCTGCACCACTCTGCAAAAGTGAATGTTTCAACTAATCACTCGTCAACATTGTTAAAAACATCATCTAAATAGCAGATCATAAACATATTTTTACCTTAGCCCAATAAGAATTATCCCGAAGCCTGTCATCCACAAACTTGACTTCATCAGCTTTCACTCTTTGGAAAGCACTTAAAGTTCTAGGCTGCAGTACACCAATATCATGTTCATTAACAATAACTTCATCTTCTGGTCGGCAAACCAGAGGGAGGGGAAACATGAAAACTAGCCCAGTTAACCGGTGACTAATATCAGAAATAATACAAATACCAAAAAAAATGGTATCCCAAACAGTTGACTTTTAACTTCTAAATCAAATCAAAGCTGATATCAAACTTCACTGGAATCCTTCCCACAGACAACGGAACTTGGAGCTCTTTTAATTATTTTGGCGAAATAGAATGTTGATACACCAGTTGCTCTAAAGCTCAAACAGTGCCCACTTCAAATATTTAAGAACCACATCATTCTTATTATACTTGTGAGTCCTCCAATCACTGCTTCTACAAATCTTGACGGACTCAAGCTTGTAAGGATGCCTTATACATGTTTCTGCTACTACTTTTAGGCTTTTAGCTATACATTGTATACTACATTATACATTCATGCATTGCTTAATACAGAGAATCATGGGGGTCTAGAAGTTGAAAGGAACAACAGACGCACCCAGTTTAGAGATAAGAGAGCAAACAAGGGAGGAAATCAATTCAAAACAAGTGTATTGACTTCCAATAAAACCGGTCAAGTCATGGTGCCTAGAAGTCACATGAAAAAAATGGCTGTACTAATGATCATCAATGGTGTCCACAATTATTTTGTTCTTCTAAGAAAAGTAAATGTAAACACGTTAATAGAAAACTAGCAATGTAATATACACAATTACAGGGAAGAATGATGATATAAGCAACAATACAAGCACATCAATAAGTAATGGTAAAATAAATAACTTGCAACATTGTGCCTGATGAATAGCAGGTAACATCGTAACACAAATGGCTTCAAATTAACACAACATCAAAATTTGGAATAAAACATCATATAGGACTGTTCAACTCAAAAAAGAAGATGGAACAAGGGCCAAGGGATTCTTGTAGCTCATAACAGGAAAAAACAAGGTTCAAGCAGACAAGAGATAGTGGTGCATGAAACGTTTTAGTCCCCCCTCCCTCAAATATTAGTTTTGGCAGAAATTTTCAAATTTTGGATTAAGGGTTCACGTACCACGTTGATATACTGAAATTGGCAGACGAGCAGAAAATATAAAAATAAAGACGTTAATGAGAAGAAACGCACCTCAGATAAGCCATTGTGTTGTTTTTGTGTGGACTTCTCTAGGGCAGAGTTTTCCAACCTATTCCCAGAGTTTCTTTTCGATACTTTACTACCTTGTTTTTCATGATCAATACTATCATTGAAAATTTGATCTTTATCTTCTTCTTTTTGGATGAAGCCTATGTGATCTTTACCCCCCACTACTACATGTCCATTACAAATAGTGACTGCATCTGATTTACCCTTTTTCCTATCATTCTTTGCTTCTTTGACTTCTTTCGTCTTTCTTCGTTTAGATTCTTCAATACATTCTCCTTCTACTTGATGGTTATCATTATCTTCAGATTCGCTTCTTTTTCTTTTCTTAGAATCCTTAATTTGAATATCTCTTTTTTCTATAGTCCGAGAAGCTCTTTGATCATTTGTGATCACTTCCTCTTTAACAGTGTCCTTCAAACAAGAATTTGTATCTAGCTCGCTGGCCTTGCTTTTTTTATTTTTCTTCTTTTCAGTTGTGCCCCCTACAACAATTTTATCAAAACTTTGAGACTCCAAATATTCTAAAGTCTCTTGCATTCCTTCAGACAATAAAGTTAATTGCTTTTCATTGCCTAAACATGATTCGGATGTTGGTAGAGTTTTCTTCTTCTTCTTTTCCTGGTCTTCTAGATTATCAGTTTTTTTTAGGACACAAACAGAACCATGAATAGCCTCTTTTGATGTGTCTGGATTTAAATCAGCTAGGTCTGGAGATCCAGATACCCTTCCACCTTCCTTACTATTCTTTCTTTTTTTTGCCTTAGAAATATATTCTCTTGGGTTATTGACAGATTTCCTCTCCTGTGCTCCATCTTTACGTGGATCTGGACATAAACACTTATACAGTAAGCACAAAAAGATCTACATCAACCTACACTATTACAATGTATTGCATTTAAAAAAAATGGAATTCAGACTGGGATGTTAAAAATAAAAGGGTAGAAAACATATGATGATCAATCCAGTTTGTAAAGCATACTTTGTTCCTTCTGTGCTTCAGAATTTATTTGGGCCTCATGCCTGCATTTTAGAGAAGCACAAGTAGCAATATCATGTGAACAAACATTAAAAAAATGGATTAATCATTGAGAGAAGAATATGACAACATCAAAGCCTTAATCCCAAAGTTTTTGGGGTCAGCTAACATGAATAGATCCATGATATCAGTGTCAAAAAGAGAGGGATGAGAAAAATAGACACAAGGTAAGATTAAATGGAAGAATGGATGAGAAAATTCCTTGAAAAGCAACAGGTGCTAAAAATGTCATCCTGATATCATGTTAAAGGCACATACATATTCATAATTTATAATAATAATTACATTACAGAAGGAAGGTTATGGTTGTTTTATCAGTAAATGAACAATGTCAACACCCTGGTTGATCTTGTTATGCCACTTAGGCGGAGAAGATTGAAATTGAAATACAACCAATGCATTTAGATTCATGTATCACAGCATACCAAGCATCTAGATATTTGCAATACATCTCCTCCAGATCGTATGAACTAGTCTTCCAACAATCGTCCTGCAAAAGAAATGAGATCTGTGGTTTAAACCATACAAAATAAACTACGCTCCAGCTTGGTTCCAAGGAAATGTCTTTTGAATCTTTGTAAGCCAGGTACTTATTTGTGTTGGAGTTAAAGCTTATGAGCAATTCTTGCAATGCAGGAAGCATAACTAAAATATACATAGTGCCTATACTCTTTGGCACAAACCTAAACACATAATATCTAAAACTGATAATAAACCGCCGAGAAGAATGAGTTAAAATAACATGAATTTTTTTTTGTGCATATCCCAAAAAAAAAAAGAAAATAAATAAAAATCGATATATGCAAACCTCAATTTGAGCTTCCTTAAGAAAGCGCTTGAGGGTTTTGCAGAAACCGTGGCGGTGGAGATACTGGACGATAGAGTGGAGGAGAGGCTTTCGTTCGGCAGCCACTTGGTTCTCCATTGATGAGCTCGCTCGCTGCTTTTGCTGCAGCGCAAGAAGGACCTGTCGAGGTTTCAAGTCTAACAAACCTAAATCTGTGCGAGGGACATGGTTTATCTTTCCTATGTTCGCCACTTCGCCGATAGCAGTAGACTCTGATGTTGTTGGCGGCACTTCGAAACCCTAGAGCATATTTGAGTAGGCTTGTCAACAGGGGTTGCTTTCGGTGTAATACTCAAAAAAATTGTGAAATATTTAAAATTATGAATTACTCCTTATGATTCACGTAGTATATTGTTGTTAGAAGGTTTCTGAATACGTAGTTTATTATGTTTCATTTAATATTTATTTAGAATAATGAAACATGCCACGAGCACGATGTGCGTAACCTTTCTTGGCCCAAATGTGATCTCTTTCTCAAATCCCTTCATTTTTAAACTCTAAAGTCGACTTCCGATATCACTTTTCGTTAATATTTTCATCCAAGACCAATTTTGAGGTCAAGAAGGTGTTAAACCACTCAAATCTTCATGTAAGTGTGTTTTTAACGAATTCTTCTTGTTTCTTCGTTTTCTTCAATTTCTCTCTTAATTTGTAACCCCACGGCTATATATATTCCTAATGTCATGTGTGTGACCCTTCAAGCTAAGATTCACGTTTAGGTTTCTTTGTTAGCCTCAATGTAAGCACTATGTCAACCAAAATTACTGTTTTACCCCCGTTATATATTAATTAGGGTATGAGCCGTGATTTGATTTTCTTTCATAAATCTTATGAGGAATTCGAATGTGTTATGATTAATATTATGATCTATGATTTTATGGGAATTTATTAGCGCACGAAATTGGGTGAGTTTATCAAATTGAGCTCTTAAGGCCAAAATTGTGGTGTGTGAAATTGATATTTTGAGTTGGAAAATTGTGAAGATTATTTTGAGACAAATTATATATTTTTAAATGTATAATTTGATATAAATATTTATATATGTATTCTAGAATTTGAAATATCTTTATTGAATTATTTTGAATATGGTATAGAATACTATTTTTGGAACTTATTTTGGGTTTAACCCTATTTTGTGAACTTTGACTTTGAATTGGAGATGCTTAGCATATGATTTTGAGACCTGGATCTGAAATAAATATTTTCAGAAAGTATTTTGAAGTTAAGTGTGTAAGGAATAAATTGTCTTAGATTTTGATGATGTACAAATTAGGAAATTAGAGTACCCTTATTGATAAATTGTACTTAGAATTTTGAGTTGTAAGTACTAGATAGTCGACGGCCAGGACATCGCACTTCTGCCTCCTTGTGGACAGAAATGCCAAGGCAAAGACGGTTGGGAACAGCCTTGGCCTTGAGCAGAATCGGCCTCAACAGAAGCGCTACAGAAGAGCCCTCACACAGAAACTCTCTCAACACTTAGTAGATTCGGTTATACTAACAGGATTTGCCTAACGATGAGGAGCCTCTTAACGAAAGATGTACAACGTTGTTCATTTAATGTTATCCATCCGTTGAGATATCTAATTATCTATGGTGCATGATTGACCGCGGTTTCAAGGAGAATAATATTTAATACTCCCGAAATAGTAAGTTGACAGAAATTTGGAACTGCCACGCTCAAGTCTACGAGATATGTATTTAATGAAGTTGTCTTTTACACTCTAACAGAAAGATCACTCTCGGTGTAAATGATTCACTTAAAATGATTGGATGACTATGAACTTTGAAATTAAGCGTACTAATTCTTGAGAGTACGTCCAAGAATTCAAATGAGAGATTGGGAGAATTGTCTTTCAGATCCTACATCCAACTCTTAACTCAAGTTCATCCTAGTTCTTCAACTACCCCGAAAACTTCAACAACTTATCTTTCACGGAGAACGTTGGAGGAAAAAACCTTTTGATTTTTCAGAAGTTATCTTCTTGTAAAAGAAGGGCACCAAAGTAACCGGAGTGAATTTGGAATACTTCAAGCAAGCTCGGTGAAAAGGCTAATCATCACGAAGCAAGGATTGCATCACGGGTGACAAGGACATAACACTTGAAGAAGACGTGGAGAGCTTCTTAGGTGCTAGGGATTTAAGCATTGTAACATTTTACAAGAAGCTTGGTGGAACAGTGGACTAAAGGAATGTGTTGTTCCTTGAATCACTATAAAAAAAATATATGGTTTCATTTACTTACTGCTTTTGCTTCTTTCACTAGGATTCTAATTGACTTACTCTAAAGAGCGTGGACTTTGGATTCTAACTGACTTACTCTAAAGAGTGTGAACTTTGGAAGGCTACCCTACCAGAACTACCTATGCCGCTGCAGGCTTATTCTGACCAGAATAGCACCGGTTCTGCGAGATAAACAGTTTCTGTCTCACAAATAAACAAGAAACGTGAAAATTTTGGATAAACATCGTTTTCTACCTAAAATAAGACTTATTTACTCCTAACTGAGAATATGTTTTTTTTTATAAATAAAACATAACTACTATAAGTTCACTTTGTCTATGATATACACCTACTTGGTGCAAAGGCTTCTGGTGGAGGGCATTCAGCTATGGCAGCTTTTGGTCTCCCAAATTTGGGCGTGGATCATTCTTGTGGAGGGCATTCAGCTATTGTAGCTTCAGGTCTCCCAAATTTGAGTTTGGAGCATTGTTTGTAATAAAGATTGTTGATTGGAATGTTATTTGCATTTCTGAAATCTAAAATTCAATGTTATATCTACTACTGATCATATATATAATTACATGTAGGTATTTCACCGAAAGGGAGGATGTGTCGGTCTCGGCTGGGGATGCCACTGTCGAGAGCAGTGCCGGCGGAGGAGGAACCGAAGACTGGTATGAGCGGGAACAGCAGCCTGGAATGCTTTTGCCGAGAAGAACCGACAATGCAATAAAAAATAACTGAAATTCTACCTTGAAATGTCAATACGTCATTATGCCGCACTTGAAAAGTTTAAAGGTGAGTTTATTGATTATGATGAGCCTCTTCCTTTACAATCCATGAAATTGTTGCATTAGCCACATGTAATTGCTGCATTATTTTCCAATTCTACTGCCAGCGGTGCATTGTGTACCTCCCAAATTCCCATGCTATATTATAACATTTTGACATTTCTACTTATACCAAAACAAACTTACTACCCATCTTTGAGTTTTTTACTATCCGATATTTACTTATTTACTTATAATTTATTATGTGTGTTACGTCTATGACAATTTGCATTCATTTCACACGACCAAGTAATATTTACAAATAATTTCGTATCGTTATTACATTTTAATATCTCGTGCATCGCGCAGGTGAAAATCTACTGTTCACAATGATAAGACCGGCAGACACCCCGAGTAGTCACATAACTTGGATAGTATTTTTTTGAATTGAAGAGTAAATTGTGTTGGCGAATTAATTGTGGATAAGTATTTATCGGAATATGAAATCTATATGGATAATTATTTATAAGTTATTTTGGGGGAGTTGATATGTTGGAAGCGAAATTGTTGAGAGTGTTACTTCTCTCTTTGGAAGATGCGAGTAGATAAAGTTTATATTTATTGAGGATGTTGAATCTCAAAGGTTGTTTTGGATGATGAATGTGATTTTAAATTTGAAAATTGTATTTTGAGAACTAAATGGATTTTTTAATCTACACTTGAAATATCAAATCAATTTTCTTCAAACTATATTATTTTACGGGGTTCAGTGGTCTTCCTTAGCAATAAAGCTAATTTTTATTTCTTTTCTCTTGTTTTGTTTTCTACACTTTATTTGGTGCAGGTGATGGAGATTATGCTTGACGGAGAGCTGCGGTAGATCATTTAGTTAAATCATTAGTTATTTATTTTCAGTAGTGGTGATTTGGAAACTTGTATACAACTAGTTAAGTTTCAGTTTGTGGAGACTTAAATACTTATTTTTTGTTTTGAGTTGTGGTTTAGTCTGTGCATTTGGTTATGTGATAACTGATAACTAGATATGGCGGTTACACCAAATGACAATTTTTATTCTCTTGCTTCTTTAAACTCTTTTAAACTCCATTGATTTTTTGGGGGAAATTCTTTCTAGACTTTCAATTCTTAGTATATATCTATTTCGGGTATGAATTTGGGGGTGTTACATCCAGACCGGAACATAGTGTTCCAGACCCAGGCTCGTTAAGTTAATAGAGGACCCGGACTCAACCCGTATACCCGGTAGGTCTGAAATATTGGACCCGGACCCAGACCCAACGGGTCTCGAAACTGGATCGGGTAGACCCACCAAATATGAGATACACAACATTACAAATTTTGGGGAAATGACAAGACCTGTATATAAAACGTGAAGCAAAGTGCGTAAACTAGCTATACTCCTGGAACAAGTTGATTATTTTGATCTCCACTGTAGGTGGCAATTTGAATGAAGGCAGGGACCCTACTTCACCTACAGCGGCACCGCTGCCGGTGTTACTACATCCGATGGGGAATGCTTGGACGAGGAATAAAAAGTCCTTTGTTTCGGTTCTATTGGATACGACTGATGCTACCCTGTCAGCAATGACACAATCACACCACAAAGGAATGCCATCAGTGACGTTTTCGGAGGATGATATTCAAATATTGGTCGATAAACATAAACGATCACTGATAGGTTATTTCTCTAAGGGTCACCCTTCTATGTCTACACTACATAGATCATTTGAAATTATTTGATTTAAAGGACGGTTTCATTTGGGATTGTTGGATAGAGAAACATGTGTTAATTCGTTTTGATTTGGAAGAAGATTATCAACATTGTTGTAATCGACAGACACGGGACATTCATGGCAGTATTATGAGGGTAACCAAATGGTCCCCAGATTTTAGTCCTAAGTGGAATCGCTTGTTGTTCCGGTTCAGTTGGCGTTTGAGGGACTGTCAATACACTTTCATGACAAAAGGGTGATTTTTGAAATTGCTAGCTTGATTGGTAAACTGATAGCCATTATATTTACTTGTGTTTAACATAAGTATTTATAAGTAATTGTTGAAGAAAGAAGATAAATTGGGAAAATATCTTGAGAATGAGAGTTAGAGCATAAAACATTGCGATGAAGAGCTTTTTGAACCAAGAGGATGACATTCTGCCCATAATTCGAGTATAACTTATTGTAGAGAACTCGAAATCACTTGATTCGAAGTTCATTTGAATTCTAACTCA